CCCGTGGGTGAGCAGCGGGGAGCTGAGAACAAAGATTCTCCCCCGGCCCTCCACCGGGGGGAAGGAGGGGGCCTGCTACCGCCTCCTGGGAAAGACTCGAGATCGTCACTGAGCGGCCCGTGTCAGGATCTTCGCTTGGCCTGGCGTTTAGCGGGGCGAGCGGCCTGAGGGGGCTGTGACGCCGGCCTGCGGCCTCCTCGACGCCGGGCCCGGGTGAAGGCTGCTGTGCTGGGGCCGGGCGGGAGGGAGGGGAGCCGCAGGGGGGCGTCCTCGGCGGCGAGCAGAGGGAGGCACCTGCGCCGATGACTGGGTGGAGGCAGCAGCTGGTCGCCGGGGCAGGATGTGTTTGATGGCCTCCGTCTGCTTCTGAGCGGTGGAGAACTGCTGGGCGAAGTCCTCGACCGCACCGCCGAAAAGGCCAACCTGGGAGAGCGGAGCGTCGAGCAGACGAGTCCGCTCAGCGCTCCGCGTATCTGCCAGGTTGAGCCAGAGATGGCGCTCCTGAACCACCGAAGTGGCCATCACCTGACCGACGGCGCGAGCGGCCACTTTCGTTGCCCGGAGAGCAAGGTCAGTGGCGGACCGCAATTCCTTAAATGCCGTCGAGTCAGTCCCGCCCTCGTGCATGTCTCTGAGCACCTTCGCTTGGAAGACCTGCAAAGTGCTCATGGCATGCAAAGCGGAGGCCGCCTGTCCCGCCGCTCTATAGGCCCGCGCCGCCATAGCAGACGAGAACCCACAGGCTTTGGATGGGTGCTTAGGAGGACCACGGGTGGAGGCGCTCTGTGGACACAGCTGCATCGCAACAGAGCGCTCCACCGGGGGCATCCCAGTGTACCCACGGGCGGCCCCACCGTCGAGGGGGGGAAAGGCGGGGGAGAGATCGCGCTCTCGAGTGGACAAAGGAGCCCCCCAAGAGCGCGATAACTCCGCATGCAGCTCGGGGAAAAAAGGTATCGGAGTTGGCCGTGGCCTTGCGGCGGCAGCTTTGTCCAGATACCAGTTATCCATCCGCGAGAGATCGGGGCAGGATGGAGGTTTCCATTCTAGCCCGATACTCCCAGCGGCTCGAGACAGCATGGCCGTCAGCTCGGGATCTGACACGGGCAACGCTGGCACTCCCGAAGGAGGCAACGCAGCCGCATCTTCCTCTCCCGAGGACTCAAGCCCGCCTAGTGATGCAGTGATAGACATCACATCATCATCTGGAGCGCTGCTAGAAGCAGCCGGCGCCGCCGAAGAGACAGCCGACTGAATCGAGCTGGCGCTCGCTGGCTCACGCACTGAGGCGGGAGGTGTGGCCCGAGGAATCGTCGGGGCTCTATCCCACACCGTCACCGTTAGATCGCCGGGTCCCCGGGTCGACGGGCCCCCTTTCGTGAAGGAAGCCGATCGAGTAGGGGGGACGGGGCTCTCACTCTAGTGAGATCATTGAGCCTCGACCTCAGTGTGGAGATGGTCATGCTCCCACAGAAGGAACATGAGTCATCCACGAACGCTGCTGCTGCATGCTGAATGCCCAGGCATACAAAGCAGCGTTCGTGACCATCAGATGATGACAGAAATCTACCACATCCAGAAGGGCACGGGCGAACCATCTTTAAAAAGACGTGCCGCGTGCAGCTCTTTCACTTTCACTTTTAGAGAAAGGAGAAATTCACTCTTTCAGCGCTGAAGCTACCAGGGAGAAGTGCAAAGTCTGGCAGACCACTGCTCAGATCGCAGGCAATGCAAAATCTCGCTGGGTACCGCCGTCACACCAACACTGAAGAGGACGCTCGTTCTCGAAGAGTCTTGAATCAGCTTTTAGGAGTGAAGAGGTTCTCTTGGCTCCGAAGCGAAAACATACTGCGGTTGCGTTCACTTCCTCCTTTTATACTCACGGAGTAGGGCGGAGTACGCTATGCAAATTTCCGCAGCCCCAAGGCATTGCATGCCATTGGCTCGTGTTTTAATACTCGAAGAGGATTGGCTTTCTATGCGAAATCCCCCAATCTCCGTCACTTCTGACGTAACTCGAAGTGACTACGAAAGGGAACACGTATTTCTGTAATCATCGAGTAATGGAGAGAACATGATATCAAATAACAGGTTTTATTCCTTCTTTTAAATATTCCTTAAATATTTAAATATTCCTAAATATTCCATCTATTTATAATGTAAAATCTTTAAGACAAAGATGTTAACATTACGAGTAATTATTGATTTGTCCTGATTATGTCAAAAACAAACAAAAGGTTTAAAAATGCAGTATAATTTCTCTTGATGTGAAATGTAGAGACATTTTAAAAAAAAAACATTTATAGGTTATTTAGAAAATAAAATTTTACTTTTTATAATACTCAATTGTTTTACTAAACATTTTTCTCAGTAATCTATGTACTATTGTAACATATTTCTTTTCTGTTTGTCACAAGTGGACACAATAAAAAAACAGCTAAAGACAAGTTTATGTTTGAATGAGGTGTTTTTTATTTCTTTTGTCTTTGAAACAAACAAAGAGTTATGCATTCTTAATATTTGAACAAATTATTAAAAATGAGTTTATAAGAAAAAAAATATTAGTAAAAAAAATAAAAAGTAACAGGGATCCCACACATTAAAAGTGCACTTGCTATAACTATAAAGCAAAGATATTTTTATGTTAGTAAAGATAACAAAGGCAAATCTGATTAAATCCACGCAGTTAGGATACGGTAAATTCCATGAATTATTTATTTACAATGAGTGATTGCAGTTTTAAGTCAGTTGTCATGTCTCTTCAAATGTAAACGCCATTACATCTAAAGACTGCTAAGTGCATGACAATGCTTTGGCAGGAAAAAATGACTGGATTTGTCCCATTTTCTCTTGTAACTGAAGTTAAAAAATGAAATAAGTTAAAACAGGTCATCAAGGTCCTTTTGAAGTTACTGTCCGACTCTTTTCTGAGACATTCTGGAATAATTATTCATGAGTCACTGCTGAATGTGACAGTGAGACCCACAATGACTCATTTTGAAGTCATATGCTTTTTGGAGTCTTCAATTGCCTTATATCAAGTCAAATCAAGTTAATTTTATTTATTTAGCGCTTTACACAATATCAATTATAGAAACTCAACTATGGAGATTGTACCTTGTTGTTTGCTACTGAATGAACTGAAGACAACAGTATCATAATTTAGCTCAAATTTGGCTTTCATTTGTGAGGTTAGTTTTGGGGGGAGTTTCATAGAGCTTTATATTCATTATATAATGAATATGAATAATTAGTGTGTGTCTGATTGGTCCAGACTCTACAGTAGTTTTTTCACCTGATACTTTTTTTTTTTGCCATGGTTGTCCTTTTATTCCTGATCAATACAATATAATTTTGTTTATATTATAAATCTATTTTACATTGCAAGACTAATCAAACCAATTTTTACACTACACTAAAAATTAGTAGCATAGTAGAACCGTGTCGTCTGTAAGAACCCTTCATATGCAGAAGTGGTTCTTTTTGATAGAGTTTAGGGTTCTTTATTTGTTTTGAAGATTTTTTTCTTTATTTGTTATTCGCCTTTTTGTTTTTCAAATCTGTAACTGTCAGAGTCCCCTCACAATTGATTTTCTGGAGCTCAGTCATTCAATAAACCCACTCTAACTCTAAACTCAGTTGTGTATTTCAGATGCTGTCCCCATCGTCTTTAGAGAGAAACTGCCACTCAAAATACACATAATGATGGACGTAATGACATAAAAACTATTTTCATGATTTGTAGGCTAAAACTCACAACATTTTTTTTTTTTTTGTCAAATCAACTTAAATAATTTACGTAGTTCACATAACATAATATTTTGAGTTTCTGGTGATTGAATCAATTTCCTTCATTGTATTAACTCAATTTTTTAATTTCAATGAACTTAAAATTTTAAGGCAACCAGGTTACTTCATTTTTTTAAGTTAAACCAACAATATTTTTTACAGAGGATTGTGAAGATATTCACTGGAACTTGGTCTTCATTACATAAATAAAAAGATTAGAAAATATTATTAATAAAATAAACTATTATTAAAAAGGTTATTCACCATCATTAAGGTCCTATTTAGCACTTTCAAAGCATGGTTCTTTATGGAATCCTATTTTATTTATTTTTTTAAAGGGTTTTGCTTTTGTTAGAACCAGAAGAACCCAGATTTGGTACTTTGGTACCATTTTTCCTAAGAGTGAACATTATTTAAAATGGTAACTGAGAGGATTTTGCTTATGATACCTTGATTATAACTCTCTAAAGTCTCATTTATTAGAATTATTCACTCTGTCAGCCATCATCAAGAGTCATCAAAGGTCATCATGTTCACAAAGTCCTTGTAGAGAATAATATTTTTATCAGGATCAACAGCCGCAGACAGCATTTCATCCATCTCTTCTTGTGTGAAGGGCTCTCCTTCAAAACAGAAAGAATTCATTTTGTTAACTGAAAACTTCCTTGTGTTGAGGCTTCCTTAGCTGTGTCCCAATTCAGACAATTCATGGCTTTGTAGGGAATTACAAACCGTAAATATATTCATATATTAATATATTCCAATATATTAACGCATATAACTATAGAATCAATTCTCAATGCGCATGTGAACGCTATCAGTGTTTATCACAGGTTTGCGTTTAAAGTCTGTTTAGAGACATTCATATCCATTTTTATCATACAGTTAATGTAAATTCAGCCTCTAGTTCATAAACGCCAGAGGAGAACATGGCCACCGACTGAGCCTGGGTTCTCCCAAGTTTTGTTTTGTTTTTTTCTCCAAAATCAGTCGCCTGATGGAGTTTTAGGACACCATTAGGTCACTTGATGGCGTTTTTCGGTTCCTTGCACTGTTGGCTTTGGCTTGCTCAGTTGGGGATATTCAAAATAATTAACCAATCAATAAAACCCTTGATCAGCTCTACCAAACGTGGATGTTTTTCCACTAAGAAACGAACATGTTATTATGTTTTGATTGATATTGTGAAGCGTCTTTGATGGAATCTATAATAAATATACTTGACTTGACTAGAACTCGGGTCACCCAAAGCGCTGTTGTCCACAAGGCCACGGCTCCGACAGAAGACCTAGCAACTGTAACAGCTGTCATTGATGAGCGGCGGTAACATTTATACAAAAAATAAACTGTCTAAAAACAAAACTTCAGATTCAGAACCTGTCTAAATCTACTCGGTCCATTTATGTACATAATAAAGGGTACAAACGATCTATAAAATCACAACATTTGAATCGCTTTATATTTAGATTGTTTTAAATTTGTATCATTAGATATTCAAGCAAATTGAAACCAAAAACTTATATTTAACAGTATAATTCAAAATTTTCTCTCTCTCTCTATCAAAAAATAAATCCAGTCGTCACTGGCGTGCAATGAATTGTCTCATTGGACATACTATACCTTCTTGTGTTAAATATTTGGTCAGTTCCTCTGGTTCCAAGTGTCCTTTTTTCTGTTGATCTAAAACCTTAAAATAGAGACAACAGCACCACTCCTTTAAATAATTTACATTTCGGAAAAAAAGATAATTGCTACTTTTTTTAATCTTGTTTTCCACAAAATTCTGACTTTTTTTCTTGCAAATTTCAGTTTATATCTCACACTTCTGACTTTTTTTTTATATCTCACACTTATGATATATAAACTCGCAATTGTGTGTCATAAAGTCCAATTCTGAGGGGGAAAAAATGGACTTCATATTTCACAATTCTGACATTATAACACACAATTGCGACTTCATTACATGCAATTCTGAAAAAAAAAGTAATAATTGCGAGTTTATATATCATGCAGTTCTCGCTTTTTTAATTGCGTGAAATAAACTAAAAAAAATCGTGAAATAAAAAGTCGCAATCCCTTTTTTTTTATTAAGTGGTGGAAACAAGGCAAGCTTTCATAGAAATGCGGAGAATTACAGTATGGTGTTTTTTCTGCAGTGTAACCAAGATGGATTGAAACAACAAAACAGCAATAACAAAATGTTAAAGTGTCAGAGCATTAGATACCTCAAAGGCCTGGAGGAGCAGGTCTTCTGGAATAGGACGGAATCTGCAACAAAGAGGAAGCAGAGCTAAAATGGGGTTGCACGACTACTGATTCCTGATACAATACTCGATAACAATACTCGAGTTACTCGACTACTCTTGGTTCATGCTCCTGTAAAATGAAAAGACATGAAATAGTTCTTATCAATAAATCTATATAAATTTATAGCCTAATGCAACAATTAGGCCTACAGAAGTAAACACTCAAAACATTATAATTATGACATTGCATATTTTAATTTTCATGTAAGAGAGTAAAGCCAGATAAATAGACATTCTTTAAAAAGTGTATTTTAACTAACTTATTTGTAATTCTGCAGAAAGCTCAAGATGATTATAACTGATCCTTCACTCTCAGTGGCAGTCTTACTTGCGCTCCAGCATGATCTTGGTCATAGTTGGAAGAAACTTCTCATAGCGTACAAACCCAGTGGGCTCTTCTTCTTCTAGCTGCGGATGAAGTCACAAATCATAACTTCGAATCTACTCAGCTTGCAAGAGTGAATGAACTTTGTCTAGCACTGTAAAAATAAGCCACTGACCTCAGCAATGACATCATGCAACTCAGCTTCTGATGGAAAACAGCCCAGTGAGCGGATAATAGTGCCTATTTCTCTTTTAAAGTTAAAAATAGCAGTGTTAAACAAGCCATTTGATCATTTGGTAACTTAAACATCTAAAGTGTAATAGGAAGTAAGGAAATTGACATTTCAAAAACTTAAAACGTTACCTGACATCAACAGTCTTGCTGGATTCATGGTCAAACACGTCAAATGCATTACGTATCCTCTTTTGAGTTTCTGTTATAATAGTTTCTGACAAAAGGAAATTATGTTTCAGCAAATATGACGAAACAATGGAGTAGACATTGTTTACTAGTTAACGTTACTTCTGTTGTGTTACATTAGCTAACGTTATTGGAAACTTTACACAAACGAAATGACAATTGTAGTAATAACACGCGAGCAACAAACAACACGCAAGAGTACCCTACACATGCTACTAGGTAAATCGTAAGTCCAAAAGAGAAAAAAGGTTTTGCATTTTGAATCTATAACAATGTTACCTGCGTTGTACTTGTCAGCCATATTTTTGCATGTCCCAAACACTGGTTGCTAGGTAACACAGTAACTTACCCGAGGCGACATTACTCTTGGTGGTGTTCTCTGCCAATATTGATGTAAATATTGATACTATCTTTTATGTGCTTTTGTGGCATATCGAATAAAAAATGATTCTACAATAATAAATTAGTCTGTGACAGTTAAAAAAAAATGCTTACTACATCAGAAATACCTGGGATCTGATTCTTAGTTTATGTTGGATTCTTATATTAGTTTATATTCTTATATTATATTCTTATATTTTTTAGAATTAAAACAATTTGAATAATGCCATATTAGTCATATTAGTAAAAATAATCAATACTTGCCAGATATATTCAGATTTATTTATTTATGTGAAATTAACTGAGTAGTGAGTACTGATATTATATCCTAATATTTACCTTTTCTTATAATATTAGAATAATATTAGAATAATATTCGAATAATTTGCAGTTTATTCTATCATTCACAATAGCCCCATATAGTGATGTTTACGGTACTCTACTCCTCCTCTATTGTGTGCATTACGGTAGATTATATAAAGCTGAACTGGCCCCGTTCTGCTGCCCATCAGTGACCGAGGGACCGGCCGCATAAAGCGTCTCTGGACATTCCGCACAAAACCTGCTCTTCCCCATTCATATTTCACACATCTGGGGTATAACGTCTGAAAATAAAGGATCGAGACGTCAAGATGAGCGCAATGGACGTGAAGAAGCTGAAAGTGAACGAACTGAAGGACGAGCTGAAGAAGAGGAGTCTGTCTGATAAAGGGCTAAAGGCTGAGCTGATGTCCCGGCTGCAGGCCGCTCTGGATCAGGAGGCGCTGTCCGCCGACACCAACGGTTCTGAAGGACTCAGCTTTATGGGCGATCAAGACCTTGACGAAGATCTGGCTGGAGAGAGCATGGATCCTGATGAGGAGGAGGATGAGGATGGAGAGAACGCGGAGGCTGAGGAACAGCAGGATGATGACATGGAGGAGGAGGAGGAGGAGGAGGATGCCGGGTAGAGATGGATAAATCAGATGAAGATGTCCTGCTCAAAGAAGATGATGAAGAAATTGAAAAATTTGATGATGATGATGACGTGGCTCTCGACATGGGCCCTGGCGAGGGTGAGGTTACACGATGAAGCTTGTGCAATTCATATTTTGATATTCATATTTGGGTTATGTGATGCCAGGATAATTCATTCTGACAACAGAGATAGTATAAAGGATTTAATGAGATACTACCACTGGTGTCCCATTTGTGTCCCTTTGACTTACTACTGACACAAAATACTAATATATTTAACTCCATTTAACGTGTAATGCATAGTCAAATATATATATATATTTCTTAAATGTATCACCAATTAGGCCTAATGTATTGTTTATTTAATACTCTAGGCCTATATTTATGGTTAGCTATAATACTTCTAGTTTTTAATAGATGACAAGTTTGTCTACATATCAAATTAATCAAGGGAATCTGCTGATTCAGTTCTGTTTTGTCATGGTTTGCACAAAATATTTTTTTTTTCAGTTCAGCAGTATCTGAATTCGTATCAAATCAAATGAAATGTTTAGGGATAAACGGGACCGTTTCCTGAGAATGACCTTTTAATGTGTAATTGGTTTTTATTGGTTGAGCAATAGCTCTCTGGATGGGTGAGCTGTAACAGGATGCTGAAGTGGAGATTTTGAAGGACAAAAGCTCCAGATGGAGACTGTTTGTAATGATCTCGGTTCATTTGTTTTACTCCGCCTGCCCTGGAGTAGTGAGGACGAGGACCTCATTTATTTAGGACATTGTTATTCTTTGTCTTCATTTTGCACAGTGCTTCCTAACCCTGGTCCTGGACTAGAGTACACCCAGACTTAGTAGTACACATTTTGGATGTCTCTTTTATCTTACATTTCACATCTTGAAGTCTCTGCTAATGAGCTGATGAGTTGAATCAAGTGGGTTCGATTAGGGAGACATGAATAATGTGCTCAGTTGGGGGTACTCTGTGTCCAAAATCGCCCCCTATACCCTCATTCACTATTCCCTCCCTACATTAGCCCACTGTTATCGTTCACTTGAGGGAGTGAATGAAAACGGCTGCCGCTTTTGCATAGTTTGTCCATTCTGTTTAATAATCATTTGAAACTTAGCAAACTGACGGCTCCAGTAGTAAGATGAAAAGATTAATCTTGAACTCTGTCATGGAAACTATGTATGAATTAAACAATTTAATAATCAATTAAATAATTTTGAACCTGTATGACATTACGCTGTAGCCACATTGGACCAGCAGTTTGGAAAATGAACGGATGGATGATTTAGCTGTGGTGCCATCTTCTGGTCAGATGGTTGTACACTCATTATTACGGTGCTTTATAGGATTGTATGAGTGCATTCGATAATGTTCACTATGGTTTCGGACACCACTACAAATGGCTGTTCCCTTAATAAAGCCCTATATTTATTAATATATTTATTTTAAAATACCCAAACACACTATACATGTGGATGCTGCATTAAACAAATTCTTAAAGGGAAAAATTGTAAATAATAAATCAACTCATAGCTGATTCAAAGTGATCAAGGGCTTAGGACGTTCCAGTTCAGCTCATTGCGGTTTCTACCAGTAGTGGGCACTCGTGCAACGTAATCATTGACGTACATCCGAGTGAACGAGACGGAGGGAGGTTAGCGAGTGAAGGGCATGTTAATTTTGGACTGGAACGTAGCCCTAATCTGAAAAATGAAGCCTACCCAGAAGTGCAAAAAAACTGCCATACATCTAAAATCCGCTAGAGGGAGCAAATGTCCATAGACCCCATGTTAAAATGTCCGTTTTCACAGCATAAATTCATGCTTTTACAGGTTGGTCCCATGGACCTTTATTGTATTTTTCGATAGGTTCTGAGTGTCTGACAACTGTGAGGGGGGTAAAAAATTTTCTAATTCTTTCATATTTAGATATAAAATGTATGACAAATAAGGGCGGTTAACTTTGATTGACAGCTAATAACAGGCTGCGCCGAGTTGAATTTGACGTCTCGGCCATGATCTGACAAAACACATCATACCACCTCTGTATCCTTTCTGAACATTTGTATTTTGTATTTCGCAAGATTGAGTATTTGCCCATACCCCCCATAAACAGCCTCAAAACTGTTCTTCAGAAAGTCTATGGGTGACGTCACAGACGCTTTGTCCATATTTTTTTACAGTCTATGGTGGGAAGTCACAGGTTTGACTGCCATTACAGTGCACTTTCATGGGTATAAGGTTGGAAAAACACGAGTTACAGGTTGCCTGGAACGCGGTATTTAGCTTCAAACCTAATTACCTGAGCTTATTTGAAAACTACAGGTATGTGGGTTAAAGCAGGTTTGGAACTAAAGGTATGTTTACACGACAACTATGTACTAAGAACGGAAATGCTTTTTCTTTGTTCAGCTGACGACATTATCAAAACTTTCACACGGATCAGCAAAAACGACTAATAACGCTGTTATGCATGCCAGGCCAGTAGATGGCGATGTCACTTTGTAAAGAAAAGACTACGTGTCTGTGCACATATTTTACGCATTCTTTTACAGGGCATTCATGCCATTTTTGTAGTTTACGCAGAGTCAATAACGGTATCGTTTTCAAAAGTTTGCGTTTTCAGACCCCCCTTTTTTCAGTTTAAAACGGTGTCGTGTAAATGGCTCCTAAACTCTGGAGGGCTGTGGCGTTCACACCCCAGGTTTAGGTGTTTGTACTTATGCTGCATTTGCATGCTATCGGAATTAACATAAAGACAGTTTTCTTGTTTGGACATGAACGCCTTCTCAAGTCGTATTTACCACTGGGATGCTCTGGGATAATTTTGATACCCAAGTCTCCAAGTTGGACGTGCCATACACTGTAAACATGGTGGAGAGGAGAACGAAATCTTGCTGCTATGACTGATCAGTTTTCAGTTTTAAAATCAGGGTTTTTTTGCACAACAGCAACATAACCTGGTCTTGTTGTTAAAGTAGTGCATATCTACATAATCATTTGAAGCATATTGTGTTTTATACACAGCGATAGCCTGTAATTGAATGAAATTCCAGAATCGTCAGCAAGCTATCTAGATATTGCTGTGAATGTTTATTTGGTTGTCAATGAATGGGACGTTGAATATCATTTTGGCTTTAATACGATTTTAAGCCAATACGAATAAATAGGCAAGAATTAACCTAGTGTCTTCCATGATTCCTGTTCTTTTCGACAACAAAGCATGTGAATGCGACGACCATCACAACTTATGAAGTGGGAAGTAGGACATTTCCGATAGCATGTGAAGGCAGAATTAATATCTTTTGGGTTACCAAAAAAAGGGCATCTATGAGAGTCGTTCCTAATGGAATTTTTTAAAATTGATGTTTTATAAAATACTAGTTGTCCTTTGCATCAAAAACAACAGATTTCTGAATGATGTATTGTTTGCATATTCCTGTTTTTCATTTTTAAATTTTTGTTTTGTCAAGCACAAGTTGCACACAGAGGGAAAGAAGTGCTTGTGCATTTTGCCCATTAGTATCACCAAATATGCCTTTAAATTTTGCACACACTGTGTAACACTTTTCTTCAAGGTGCATGAAATGTGAATCTGAAAATGTGTGTTACTTAGCTCAAAATTTCACAGACTGGAGTTGTTTTGGGAACAACCTCCTGTCTTTACCCATTTAAGTACTGCGGTGTACCGCTATCGCTCCTTTAAACATGTGAACTTAGAATTAAATACACCTTTCTTTTTAAAACACTGGTCATTGCAATTCATGCATAACCAAAGTAACTATAAATCCTTCAGTAATTATTTGGACCATCATGTTACAACATGATGGGTCCAGCAGGGAGGTAAGCCTCCTTTACAATTTATTGTTTTATTTCCAAAGGGGATGCGGACAAAGACAAGAATGATGAACAGAAGAATAAGAAGGGTGTAAAGAGACGCCGAGATGAACATGGAAGGGGCTACTTTGAATTTATTGAAGAAAGCAAATACAGCCGGTAAGAAACGTGCAGTCGGCCTCTGGTACTCCTGAGGTACCGCTGCACCTTTATGAGCAGTTTTGGCAGTAAAGAGCCAAATCTGACATGCTGTTCCTCATCAATGCAAAGAAACACACATTTTTACTGACCATTTTGAAAGTATTTTCAGCCTATAATAAGGGCATCTCTGTCACCCCAAGTGGCATTTTCTTTCTCCTTGGGAATCTTGTTTTTCTGTAGGTCAGATCTTGGGCTGTTAAAAGAAATGAGAATATTCTACGGGGTATTGATACATGTCCAGAAAATAAACTATTCATATCTATTCATATTTTTGTATTCCGTATCGCATGTTATTATCATTAGTGATCAGATGTATATTGTGTATTCTTCCTTATCATATGTATAATTTCTTATGTGTTCATGTTTATGCCATTTAATTTAATTTATACGATGTGATGGTATTTTTTTTCCAAGGAACTGTATGCAACCACTGTGTATTATCAAATATATATATATATATATATATATTAGTGCTGTCAAATCAATTAATTGCAATAATCACATCTAACATAAAAGTTTTTGTTATATAATCTATATACTGTATATATATAACACATATACACACATTTTTGACATCACAACAAAAAAATAATTAAGAGACATTTTATTTGTTAAATTCAAACTTAAAGTGTTTTACCTGTTAAATCAGAGCAGATTTATTTATTTATTTTATGTTTTTGCAAATCCACCTAATTTGTGGTCCCATTTTCTAAAAAAAACTACTAATGTTTCATTTAATTGTTAATTTTCCAAATCTATTCTAACAGCATTCATGTGCTAAACAGTTTATTAATTTAACAGCATTAACACGTGTTTTATACTTGCAGATTATCTTGGAACATATTTAAAATCCAAAGGAAGTTCAAGGGGATCTTATAATGGCTCTGACTTTTGTCGAATTTTATTGAATTTCTCTCAGGGCGAAGTCTCCCCAGCCCCCTCTGGAGGAAGAGGATGAAGAGTTTGATGACACGACTGTGTGTTTGGACACCTGTAAGTATAAAGAGCTCACGAAAACTGCACAAATACATAAAGAATTTAATTAAATAAAAAAATACTGACTATTTCATCGAGCAACATAAAACACGGAATATATTTCTGTAAAGTGAAGTCAGTTGTCCACCTCTATTTTCCTCAGACAACTGTGACCTGCACTTCAAGGTGTCTCGGGATCGGTACAGCGCCTCCTCTCTCACCATGGAGAGCTTTGCCTATCTTTGGGCAGGGGGGCGAGCGTCTTATGGTGTGGCAAAGGGCAAGGCTTGCTTTGAAATGAAGGTGAGCACACTGTCTTAACCTCATGTTTACAATTTATAGTTGACCTTAGCCTTACTTTTGCATGTCTTTGCACCAGATTATCGAGAAGATACCTGTAAAACACATTTCCAGTAAAGGAACTGAGATTCATGATGTGCTGGTGGGTTGGTCACTGTCAAACAGCTCTCTTCTGCTAGGTGAGGGTCTTACATTGGAATATATTATACTATTAAATTCATGATGTAGTTTGAGTGTCCCTTCACCTTACATATTTACAGGGGAGGAAGCACACTCATACGCCTTTTCAACTAAGGCCAAGAAAACCAGCAACGGTGTGACAGAGGACTTTGGGGAGGCATTTGATGAGAATGATGTTGTCGGATGCTTTATAGTAAGTATCTGTGTGCTTTTCCAGAGTGAGTGTTTAACCACTGTGCAATTACTACTCTTGACCACTAAGTAGCACCGTATTCATACACTACTCTCCATGAACCTGAAGTAGCAACTGATTTTTCTTCAGTGTTGTGACGTATTTCCAAGTGTAACTAAATATTGAAATGAGGGCAGAGTTTTACTTTAGCGCAGCCCCTCTCCATCCCTCACTCATAGCAGACTGACCAGCCCGTTCTCATCCCAAGGCATCATATACTGACGCTTTTGACATTTCGTCTACATCCAACGCACATGGCACCCTTTAGCGTCAATGTTAGACGCAGATATATATATGGGCCAGAATGCGCCTCCTAGTGGTCTAACCCTAACCCTACCCCAGAACTAAACCTACCCATAAACTAACAGCTCTGTGCGTGTTATATTGACGCTAAAGGGTGCCATGTGAGTTGGATTTAGACGAAATTTCAAAAGCGTCACTATATGACGCTCTAGGATGAGAAAGCGTTGGAGGGGAGTGGTTAAGGATATTCTACCCGAGTCATCAAACTGATGTCATCAGAGAAGGAATGCCATTCCAATAATGAAGCAAATTTTCCAATTTTGATTAAAGATTAGCATGACAAACATTTTTGTTTCTGCATATTAATTCGCGTGGAGTAATTGTTCACCACACGACTAGTAATGTGCACTAACAAAGTAAATAGGGTCAATTTTGATTTCATGAGGACTTTTAAGAGTTTGCGATCAATTTGATTTTTTTTTTTTTTTATGAATAATTTTTTTCATCAAGGATGCATTCAAAATAATTAAAAGTAATAGTAAAGACATTTAGAATTTTTACAAAAGGTTTCTATTTTGAAATATAATTATGCTGTTCTTTTGAACTTTCTATTGATCAGACAATTCTGAAAAAAAAAAACATTCATCAGTTTCTACACAAAAAAAATGAATAAACACAACCGTTTTCAATTGTTTTCAATTGTTAATAATAAAATATGTTTCTTTGAGCAGCAAATCAATGATTTCTGAAGGATCATGTGACACTGAAGACTGGAGTAATGATGTCAAAAATTCAGCTTTTCCAACACATGAATATTTTACATTTTAAAATATATAACAATAGAAAACAGTTATTTTAAATTGTAATAATATTTCACAATATTAGTGGAGCAAATCAGCATATTAGAATGATTTCTGGGTACTTCCTGTTATCCGGACCCCACGATGGCCTACCCCTAACCCCGCCCCTAAACCTACCCGTCACTGGGGTTAAGACCAATCAGGGATGACTTTAGTTCCTAAATGGTATATGGTGGGATCCGGAGCCCACAATGGCCTACCCCTAACCCCGCCCCTTAACCTAGCCGTCACTGGGGTTAAGACCAATCAGGGACGATGGCCTACCCCTAACCCCGCCCCTAAACCTACCTGTCACTGGGGTTAAGACCAATCAGGGATGATAGTTCCTAAATGGTATATGGTGGGGTCCGGATAACAGGAAAGTACCGATTTCTGAATATATATATAGCAAGTGTGGGTGTGTTGTATATGTCTACTTGTGGCCATAATATATAATGATTGCTTGTGTTCATTTGGCAGAATTTTGATGGGGAAGAAGTGGAAATTTCCTTCTCCAAGAATGGACAGGATCTGGGAACAGCTTTTAAATTCAGTAAGGATGAGCTTGAGGGGAAGCCGCTCTTCCCTCACATCCTCTGCCACAACTGTGCGGTTGAGTTCAACTTTGGCCAGCGTGAAACACCGTACTTCCCCCAACCTGACGGCTTTACTCTCCTGCAGCACATCCCCGTTTGCGAGCGCATCAGAGGACCAAAGGGGCCTGAGACCAAAGAAGACTGTGAGGTTGGTTTCTTAGCCATTACATTTTTCTTCTACAACATCATTAAAATTCATCATGGAAATCTGCTGTAAATCTGCACAGGTCATTGTCATGGTCGGACTGCCTGGATCTGGAAAAACTGAATGGGTAACAAAGCACACAGAAGCCAACCCTGGAAAATACAACATTCTTGGGACAAACACCATCATAGAAAAGATGATGGTGAGTGTTGATTTTGGTAACATAATAAGGTTCATTTGTTTACATTAGTAGACATGAACGAATAATGAACATTACTTCTACATCATTTGTTCATTTTAACATTCGCTTATACATTTTTTAAATCAAAAGTTGTTTCTGTTAACATTAGTTAATGCACTGTGAACTTACATAAACAATAAATAATTGTATTTTTCATTAATTAACATCAATAAAGATTGATAAATGCAGTAAAAATATATTGCTCATTGTTAGTTCATGTTAACTAATGCATTAACTAATGTTGAATGGGACCTTATTATAAAGTGTTATCAAGATTTTTTTTTTTTATATTATTACCAACACAATTAATGTTATTTTGATGTTAAAATTCAGATTTCCAGTTTAAAACGTCAGCTGAAAGATGTCACAAAGCTCTCAGCAATATCTCAGCGTGCTCCTCTCTTCCTCGGGAAATTCATCGAGATCGCTGCGCGTAAAAAACGCAACTACATTCTTGACCAGGTGACGTGGAGTTTACAAATATGTGACAAAGAATCAAAATGGTTATTGTATCATCTGCTAAAAATACTAAATGTTAAATGTCTCCATTTAGACTAACGTATCGGCACCAGCCCAAAGAAGGAAAATGTGCCTGTTTGCCGGGTTCCAGCGTAAAGCTGTGGTAGTCTGTCCAACAGATGAGGAATATATACAGAGGACTCAGAAAAAGGCAGAAACAGATGGAAAAGATGTACCTGAACACGCAGTCCTAAAAATGAAGGGTAAGAACCTTTTCTCAAGCCACGCTTGATCTAAGATGTGTGCAACTGTGTTTTATTACTTATATTTTGTATTAGCTATTTTTATATATTTTCATTTAAATTTCAGTTTAAGTTTTAGTCAATTTTATTATTTGTTTGTTTTTCATATAAACCGTGTTGCAGAATTAATTTTTCAACAAATTTGTGCAATTTGCTCGTTGGTAATAAACATTTAAACTGTTATCCATTGTATTTTATGTTGTTGGGTATCACAAAACGGAATATAATACAAAAAAGTAGGTACTATCCTACAGCGGTTTGCAACGATTCTCCTTTCCCCCACAATGCATTGCATTACGTCACCTTGGGGAGAGAATTTCCAAAGCCCGCCTTTGACGAGAGTATTCAGATAGCGCAGATTATAGATAAATAGATAAATACTGTACATAGATATAGATAGATAGATAGATAGATAGATAGATAGATAGATAGATAGATAGATAGATAGATAGATAGATAGATAGATAGATAGATTGACAAGTATAGAGAGATAGGCAGACAGCATAACATTAGCAGCTAAATAAAAATATATTGTAGATTGTAGATTGACAATGGTGAACTACTTTGTGCTGGGTGTAAAACACACACACACACACACACACACACACACACACACACACACACACACACACACACACACACACACAATACTAATACATGTATAATTCCACCCCTAATAGCTAGCGTGATGCTTTATATTTCTAGATGACAAAGACAAAGTTTACCAGTACTACGACACTATGACAAAGGTTACCGGTACTTATCTGAACTAACATCGTGATCATGTACTGCCACTGGATATAAAGAAAACATAGATTTTTCACTCAGTGCTATTTAATGAATATATGTAATATATACATATATATAATAATTATATATATGTATATATATATTACATATATATAATATATATATAATATTTATACATATAATATATAAAATATATGTGTCGTTATTGTGCACTTTCCCCGTTCTCCCCACTTCTCCCCAACATGATGTCATCACCTAATTGCGTAAAAAAAAACCCTGTTAATACCAGAAACGTGTAAAACTGGTCTTTAAGACCATTTTTGAGACATTTTAAAACTGATATCCACATCTTGAGTGATTTATGTACCCATTAATCAATAGTGGTGGTTAACCTGCATTATGGCTTTTTAGAAAATTTACCGGCCAAGAAAAGCAGATTCATTCTTAATAAAGTTACAAAAGTTACTTAGTCAAGAGCAATAAGTTATTGTTCTTTGTCTTTTGATAAACATTAAAAACAGTGGGCAGCAGGAATATTAGGCTGCTGTCACTTTGTCAATTGGAGCTAATGCACGGATCCAATATACAGATACACATGCGTTTTCTGTCTCAACTGCATTTGTTCTCTTAAGATGAAACTGACTGAGGATACTGACAAGACAGGCATTTTGACATCATTTTGTTTGTTCAAGAGCTTGAAGGCGTGAAAGAGAGCTCAATTGAATCAGTTTTTGAGAGCTGAGACGCGGATTTCTAGGCTTCAGATATGATTAACGAATTGAGTTCCCTTGCGTCTTCTTAAGATTGAATATTTAAATTGCTAAGGCTTAAACTTTCGTGACAACGCAACTCTGGCCCGTCAACTGTCCTTTGTTTATTGCAAATAACCGATACCTTGATTTCTATACCAGTTCCTGAACGATAATTTTTTCCATACCAATTAAAGCATCCTCAGACTTTCACCTTGCATAGAGCCCATTGTTTTGAATATGCGACCTCTAGTGGTGAAAAGTATATACTGTGCCTTTAACAGTAAAAACACTGTTGTGCAACTGACAAAACTCACAAGATGAAACACTATAACTCTATAATCTTTTCCAGGAATATACACGCTGCCTGTGGAAGGTGAGTGCTTCACCGAAGTGGTTTATGTCGAGCTGCAGAAGGAAGAAGCGTCCAAACTTCTTGAACAGTACAAGGAGGAGAGCAAAAATTCCCTTCCTCCTGAGAAGAAACCCAATCAGGGAGGTGTACAGCTTAAGAGGGGAGGCATTCGAGGACGAGGAGGCAAAAATCTGTTCAACCGTGGCGGAGGACAGGGTCAGAGGGGAGGACGAGGGGCCTTTCAACACCGAGGCAACTTTAGGGGTGGTACGCCATTTCAGTTGTGCTAAATGTTTGTTTATATTTCTTATATTTATCATTTTGCAAGATGTAAACAAAACGGACCAGTTTTTTTTACATCTTGCAGAATGATAAATATAAGAAGCACTTCCTGTTTCAGTTTTTTAACTCTACATAAAAGCTGGGATAAAATACAACCAACAGAACATATAAAACTGAATCAAAAAGTTAAACAAACATCTTTAAGATTTTTTCTTTCCATGTGAAATAAAGAAAATAGTTACAAACTGAAACAGGAAGTGTTTCTGGACCAGTGTTGTTTACATATTGGAAGAACTTTAAGGATACCATGAAGCAGCACCTCCATAATGTGACATACTTTGGAATACTGAGCAGGAAATAACACTGTTCTTTTCGGATTGTTTGGCAGTGCCTGGACCGCGCGGGGGGTTCAGCAGACCACCGAGGGGCTTCCTTCCTCCCCCTGCCTTCAGAGGCGGGTTCAATCGGGGGGGTTTTAACCGTGGTGGTGGTGGGATGCCTAACAGGGGTGGTGCCCCCAGGCCAGGACATGGGCGGGGCAATATGGTTAACATGGGCAACAGGGGAGGAGCCATGCACAGGGGCAACATGGGAAGAGGGGCCAATCGAGGAAACTTCAACCAGGTGAGAAATCATTAGGCCGTGTGTCTACCAAAGCGTTTTTTCCACGCCCCTGGCGTATGTTTTCAATTGTTTTCAATGGGAGCGCCGCGTTTTTTAAACGCCATGAGCGTACCGAGGCGCTGAGCGTTTTTTTCACGTTGAAGCACCGAGCGCCCAGCGTTTTTACTGGTCGCTGGGAGTTGGAAAATTTTCAACTTTGGATAAAACGCAGCGCTCATCACTGTCACATTTTACCCAGCTGTCCAATCACAGTGGAGGAGGGGCGGGACTAATACCACACCGACTAACGGTTACAACATTCAAACTGCGCTGTGGATATTCTGTATCATAGCAACGAAACGTCTCAACAGAAAAAACATTGCGCTGCCAAAGCGCTCTCAAGCGCCCAATGCACGCTGTCTTCAGCAGAGCGTCTAGCATTTTCAGCTGGATAAAAACGCTTTGGTGGACACACGGCCTTAATGATGTAGATCATTTTTTGTTATAAATTAAAATGTAGTTGTTGTTGTTGCTACCTAAACAAGTTGAATCTGTATGCCTGTAAAGTAGGCAGCTAATGAATGAAAAGTAGGTCAATTTAAAACTAAAGCCGCTTTTCAACTGTCGGGACGAATGATTCTGAGAATGCTAAGGAACTGTTCCAGTTGTATTTCCCTTTTAAGCCTGGTATGGCATGGCACGGTACAAATACAAACTCTTCTTGACCTGGTATTCTTGGCACTTCAACCTTATAAAAACCTCAGAAGCTTGATTTCAGTCAATATTAGGGAGTTACCATGCTTTTCACTTTAGAATACCCATACAAATAATTAGTAATTCCTTCTTAAGGATTTGATCATACCTGAGTCATTACTAGTGGGTTATCATGACCTTGACTTTAGAATGAATTACACATTTTGCATTATTCACTTATGAAACTGTACATAGTAGTTCTTCTACCTCCTCTGGGACGTATCAAAATAATAGTACATGCAACTAAACGCTATTACTAATTCATTAATCAGAGTTTCTTGTTATTAAAATGTGATTACTCAAATATTTATGGTGTATTAATCACTTGTTCCTGTGTAGTTATTCATTATTGATGAAACAGTATTCTAAGGTTTTAACGAAATATCTAATCATCCTCCATAACATGGTCGCTATTTATCTCATATCGTCTGTAAACTTTTGCATTACCTGGGCACTGACTGATGGATTTGTATTTTACATTCCAATGAGCTCCGTTATCAGCCCCACCGTGGAAAATGAAACCATATCCGTACCGACTGGGCCAGATCGGCACGGAATGGGACAGTTAAGCGAAGAGAACGGTTTGGCCCGATAGTGGAAAAGCGGCTTAAGATGCCACCCCAATGTGAACCAGAAATCACAAATCTGCTGTTTTCACAGAAGTTCAGGGGTCGAGGAGGAAATAATCGAGGTTTTAAAAATGGCAACTTTAGCATGAACAAAGCACAAGCTTTCAACCAGAGCTGGCAACAAGGGGTGAGTTACTTGAAAAATATGTTAATATTAATAATTAAATAAAACAAGAAATTGGATAGAAAATCAAGCCTTTTTTGGACCATTATTATCAAATATATATCAATTTTTTTGTTTCCTTTGGAGGGTTAGTTTACCCAAAAATGCAAATTCGGTCAGTAATTACTCCAAACCCATAAGACTTTCATTCATCATCAGAAATAAGAGTCATTTCTGTCCCTCCATTGACAATACTACACAATAGATACACAACTATTTGGTTTAGTCCAAATTTTCTAAAGACCTTTAAATCACTGTAAATGATGATCACTTTACATGATTCAACAGATTGAACTTAACATTTTGCTGCGTAACACGAGAATGAACCTCATTGGTTCCTGCGGAAGCTCAAATGTGCTGTGTAACCCGAGAATGAACCTCATTGGTTCTTGTAGAAGCTCAAACGTGCTGTGTAACCCGAGAATGAACCTCATTGGTTCCAACGTGCTGTGTAAGATGAGAATGAATATGTAAATAAAAGCCTAAATTGTTGTTCATCACATAAAGTGAAAATTTGGACTAAACCGCTCAATTCATATGGACAAGTTTTACAATCTCTTTATGAACTCTTTTAAGCGTCGAAGTGGTAGTTCCATAGCTGTATATGGAGGGACAGAAATCACTCTTATTTTGTCAAAAATATCTTCATTTATGTTATAAAGATGAAAGAAAGTCTTACGGGATTGGAGTGACATGAAGGGAAGTAATTAATGACAGAATTTAAATTTTTGGGTGAATTATCCCTTTATTTCTTAATAAATATGTATGTATTCGTAAATAATATATTATGTACATTTTATAAATAATATGTCATAAAAATAAAATAATATAAAATGTGCAAAAATATAGGACATTGGGGCGGCAGTGGCTCAGTGGTTCATGTGGGTTGTCTACGAACCGAAAGGTTGGTGGTTCAATCCTCGGTTCCACCTGACCAAGTGTCGAGGTGTCCATGAGCAAGACACCTAACCCCAGCTGCTCCCGACGAGCTGGATGGCGCCTTGCATGGCTGACACCGCCGTCGGTGAATGAATGAGTGTATGAATGGGTGAATGTGAGGCAAATGTAAAGCGCTTTGGTGGCCATTAGGTCTATGAAGGCGCTATATAAATGCAGTCCATTTACCATTTACCATAGGAGTGATCCTAAAAATATATTCTTCCTTCTTTAATTCCTTTTTTCTTTGTCTTCATCAGTTCTGGAATCAGAAGCCATGGAGTCAACAATACCATCCTGGATATTACTGAACAATCGCTGTGATGGACTGATATCACATAAAAGCTTTAACTTCAGAAGTCATTCATTTAACATAATGTCCTTTTGTTTTTGTACAGATTTTAATACATTGAGGAGAAATGACTCTGGAGCTTTCAGAGCTTCACAGGTTTCTTTTTTTTTTTTCAACTAATACTTAGTGTTTGTCTTTGACCACAGATTTGTATGACAACGTGGTTCAATTCAGGGAACTCGGTATAACTTCAGGGTGGGATGTTTGTCTTTTAACAGCTTTCAGGGTTTTACTTTTAATTAGTCTTGTGTGAATCTTTGTGTAGCAGTTAAGCTGTGTATACTACTGTCGAGGCACGAGGCATTTGAACAATACTGCAGTCTATTTATAAATGTGTGTGTTTTTTGAATCAGTGGTTTCAATGTTTTTGGGGACAAGGCAAGCAAAGCTGCAAAAAGCCATCCGATTTTGAACATTTAACTTTTTTTTTTTCCGTCAGGAGCAATAAACAGCATTTTTGGCTTGCCTCTAAAAAAGTGAAAGCAGAATAGATGATTTTATTATTGTGGGATCATGATATTATTTATGTGTAGTTTATTTAAGAGATTTTTTTTCCAGCTGTATTTTTACAAATGTAATTTATTGTGAAATGTGGCTTACTGCTCTTTTAAGGTTTTAATCTACGTTTAGTGTCATAATATATTTTGTTCTTTTTGGTAATTATTTTACTTTTTAAAAGTGTTCATGGTTTACAAATCAGTTGCAATCTTCTTTAATATAACCTTAGATGTGACCACAATTTTGTAGACCTGTAAACATTTGTAGATGGCTTCAAAAGTATATTAAATAACACTACTCGAATTGTTCTGCATCCTCTTTCTCCATGAAACAGTGATTATACATTTATTTATCTGTATTAAAGCTTTCAAAGGATGTCAGGGTGCCATTGTGGACTGTTAACAAGACTGATTTTGCATAACTATGAAATATTGCCAATAGGATGATTGGTTATTCTTTAGTGACTGAAATATGCATATAGATTTATTTTTTCTTTTATTTTTACTGCTGTAGATAATCTCATATCAGTGTTATTAAGATCTCCATTGTCCCAGATTTCTGATGCAAATGACTAATGTGTTTTTAGATAATTGTTGGCTAAAAAATATGGCAGATATTAGGAACATTAAATTGTATTACTTTAAAAGTATGTTTGTATTATGAAATTATTTATGGCATGTGTGATGTAGGACATAAAAAGAAAAAAAATGAAGGTGATTTGTTTTGATGTTGTATTTGTTCTTGTTTAAGGTATTTGTTCAGGTAAAAAAATATAGTATTGAGATTCTAACAGTTTGTAATATACACCTTTTTCCTTCTTTCTTTTTATACCTTGCTAGGTTTTGTATTTTACCTTTAATCAAGAAGAAAAACATCATAAAGATGAAATGAGTAACTTATTCCATGCATTCTTTTTTTAAATAGAATGTTTTTAAATGATAATAAAGTTTGACGAAAATAACTAGCGTACATTTGCATATGTACTGTATCTATCTATCTATCTATCTATCTATCTATCTATCTATCTATCTATCTATCTATCTATCTATCTGTCTATCTATCTATCTGTCTATCTGTCTGTCTACTCAAATTAACAACTGGCACATTAAACAAATGTTACATATGTTGCAATAAACTTAAGCCAACAGAGGACTAGAATTTCAGGCACAACTAATCCTGTAGGCATTTCTATGCAGAAATATAACACTCAAGTTAGTCTGTGAATATTTAACTCTGTTTATGTATAGCTCTGCCACATGAATGAGATGTAGTTACACTGACACCAGAGACATTCGTGTCAGGCTGTTTGCTGAGTCAAGAGCAACCCCTTTGAGGAGAAATATCACATTTCATGCCTGTTTATAAAATACCCAACAACAACAAAAAGGGGGGAAAACCCCGTCAGATATATTTAATGTTTGTTTAATGAGTCTTGAAATATTTGATATGGATTTAATATAGTGGTCAGTAATCAATTAGATGTTACTGTAAACTTTTATTTTGGAAAAAAAAATAACGACCGGAAATGACTCACGCCATTTCGTTTCTTTACTAGAGCCAGTGGGAAAGTAAGGTTCTTCTTCCAGGGGGCGCAAGGCGGCTCAAATCTCAGAACGTTTTAAACCCCATCGGAGAAATTGTACACAATATAAATTATAATCATTTAAATCTATTAAATCTACAGATTTCGACCTAAAATGCAAACGCAAATCTACATAAATAAGTTACAATCTCTAAAAAATGATTATAAAAATTATTTTCAGATAATCATCAATAATTATCGTTGGTCCATCTCTTTTACAGTCTATGGTCCATCATATTTCAACTGTCATTTAGATCGTTTGTTCCTAACTCAAGCGAAGTGCCATTCTAGCCTCTTTTATTTCTGAAGCAGAAAAACATCCGCCCCCTGATTCATCATCACATAAGCTCAGGAAGAAAGAGAAGAGGCAGTAGTGTGTTCATACATCTGCAATGGCCATTGAGCTACGCTCTGGTGTCAAATATGGCTCGTTTTTGTCACTCGCAGTGGTGTTGGTGGCGTATTGGTTCCGATCTCCGGACGGTTCGGTTCTGGATGAAAGGCTAGATGTGCTTCTGTCTTCATTGCTGCGAGCAGAGCAGAAAGTGGGCATGGACGGCATGACTAGACCGAGAGTGGCTATAGGTAACTTATTGACTTTTAAGTGCACTTAACAGCATGCAACAAATTATAATGGTCATATAATGGATAGATTCTGCAATCTGCAAGTTTTCAAATATGTCATTTGTATAAGAACGTTGCTTTATATGTATTTATTTGTAAATAATCGCTCTAAATATTTAAGAATAAACTTTAATAAAAATAGCAAATTCATTTTTCATTAATTTCCTGTAATAAGAATACTATATTATTACTTTGCATGTTAGATTAGCATATTTTGAAGTAACTAAGCAATGCATATGCATGCTACTCTAAATATGACAGTTTTTTATGTTATAAAGTTGTATTTTTAAATCAATAACTACTTATTTAATGTAATTTGTATAAACAGTACTGGTTAAAAGTCTCTCGTGCTCATCAAGCAAGCCGACTTTAAAAATACAGAAGAAAACCTGTAATTTTGTGGAATATTATTACAATTTAAAATAATGATTTTCTATTTTAATATACTTTAAAATATAAGTTGTTTCTGTGATGCAGAGCTGAATTTTCATCATTATTACTCCAGTCTTCAGTGTCACATGATCCTTCAGAAATCATTTTAATATTATGATTTATTGTCAATATTGCAAACAGTGCTCCTTAATATTTTTATCACCTGTGATTCTTACTTGTTCATGCTTTTTTCAGGATTGTTTGACAAATAAAATAATAAAAAGAACAGCATTTATTCAAAATAGAAAACTTTTTGAACAATATAATCTTTACTATCACGTTTTTGTTAATTTAACACATCCTCACTGTATAAAAGTGTTAATTTCTTTCACAAAAAAAAAAAAAATTACTGACCCCAAACCTTTGAATGGTAGTGTACTTTTAAATGCATGCTGTTCTATTTGAACTTTCTATTCTCCAGAAAAAATGATCATTGGTAATAAAAAAAATATATTAAGCACACAACTGTTTCCAACATTGATGATCAAGCAAATTTGTATGATTTCTTCTAATAATATCTTTCTTCATCTGATATGGCTTGTTTCACTTCTGAGGAATGCTAACTTAGGATCAGGCCTGGGCTCATGTTTTGCATATTTGTTTTGCATCATGTCATTGCTTTTTTTAAATTGTTGGTTAAAACAGTCTTTATAATAACACGTGTGCAGTGCTTGCGGGGGGTTGTGCTTTGACAACTGGTTTAAGCTTTAGCCTGTATTTACCAAAATTCTTCATTCATTGTAACCCAGTGCAATGGATTTATTGTGTTTTGTTGTTTAAACGACAGTCAATGCATGTGAAAGTTCTTCTCTAGACTCTTGATTGAATCTTTGTTGATTGTGATGATGTTCAGTCAGTTCTATTGTCAAAGCCTATCTGGGATTGCACAGTCATTATCTGTTTTTTGAATCGGTGGTCGATGCATGTGTGAGTCTGTTGCGTTCTGACAAACAACAGCTTCAGTCTGTAGTGAGTGACGTTTTCTTAATGTATCTGATCCATTCTTTTCAGATATTCTATGACCTATGATTTAGGTGTGTTTTGTTGGATGGTCAGGTTCAAAGATTGAATAATTGTAGTAACATGTGATTTCACTGTCTCTTATCAGGTTTTGGCGGCTGTGTGGATATCATCGTCGATGGTGTGACTCTGCTAAACAAAATCGGTCTGAAGGCGACCGACCAGCCCCTGCACCACGACTACATAGAGAATGCGGAGCAGCTGGCGCAGAGTTTCGCTTACTTTTTCTCCCCCGGAGCCGCTTCGGAGTAAGTGAGAGCTGTTCAAGCATGTTCACAAAGCCCTCGGGACTGGAGGGATTACACAATAAAACAGAACACGTCTGTTGTGATTTTTTTGGTTTGGAGCCTGGGGTCAGTTAAACCGTTTCAACAGTGTGTTTTGTGTCAGTTAACGTTTAACAGTTGGAATTAAAACTATCTGGTCAGTCCTCCACAAGTTCACAGAGTTAGCCACAGATGTAGTTAATTGCATTAACCATCAACAACTAATATCACAAAACTAAAAGTTCAATATTAATAATTCAATAAATTTTTAAAGCTGAAATGGATCAGACCCTCTTAGTTTTGTTGTGCTGGCAATATGGTTAATCTGCATACAGCAAGAGAATTCACACTTGAGGGCGTAACGACAGGCCTCTCAAGATAATATTGCAGTTATGTTGAGGCGCTGCTAAAGCCTGCGGCACAGTAGCGTTTGGAGACGCTTCTGGTTGACATATGTAGTTTGGATTGATGTGTGAAATTCTCCTCTAGCTTTACCGTAAATCATAGTGGAGGTTTTCTTTTTGTTCTTTTCATTTAGAGAGGCTTTTAAGCCTCTGGCGTTAGGGTTGCCTGGGGGCAGTACCACAGGAGTGGTAAAAGTACTAAAAAGTAAAAGTTATACAAAACCGGTCAAAAGTTTTAGATCGGTAAGATTTTTTATGTTTTTAAAAGAAGTCTCTTCTGCTCACCAAGGCTGCAATTATTTGATAAAATATACACACAAAAAAAAAAAAAAAAACAGTAATATTGTGAAATATTATTGCAATTTAAAACAGTGGTTTTCTATGTGAATATATAGTGAAGTGTACTTTATTCCTCATTACTGTTGCTGATTACACATCAGTTTTCAGTGTCACATGATCCTTCAGAAATCATTCTAATATGCTGATTTTATGCTCAAAAAACATACATTATTATTTTCAGTGTTGAAAACAGTCGTGTACCATTTTTTTCCCCCAAAATCCTATGATGAATAGAAAGTTCAAAAGAACAGCATTTATTTAAAATATAATCTTTTCTAACATTATAAATGTCTTTACTGTAACTTTTGATCAATTTAACTCATCCTTGATGGATAAAGGTATTTTCTGATTTCTTTCCCCCAAAAATAAAAAATAAATTCTTACTGTCCCCAAACTTTTGAATGGTAGTGATTAATGTTACAAAAGCTTTCCATTTCAGATCAATTCTGTTCTTTTGAACTTTCTATTCATCAAAGAATCCTGAAATAAAAATGTAAAAAACTGTTTTCAACATGGATAATAATCATAAATGTTTCTTGAGGATCATATTATAATAATTTCTGTAGGATCATGTGAAACTGAAGACTGGAGTAAATCACAGGAATAAATTACACTTCACTATATATTCACATAGAAAACCGCTGTTTTAAATTGTAATAATTCACAATATTACTGTTTTGTTTTGTTTTGTTTTTTTTGTATTTTTTATCAAATAATTGCAGCCTTGGTGAGCAGAAGAGACTTCTTTTAAAAACATAAAAAATCTTACCGATCTAAAACTTTTGACCGGTAGTGTACTTGAGTAAAAGTATAAATGCCTAAATAAGAAATTACTCCAGTAAAAGTAGACTCCTCCATTCATACATCACTTAACGTACAAAGGTATCCGATTTAAAGCGTACTTAAGTACCGAAAGTAAAAAGTAAATATTCAAATGAACGGTAAATATCAATAATTAAGCAGGGGCCTGTACCATGATGGTAGTTGAACAAACTCAGGTTTGCAGGATTAATTTCGAGTTGACTAAACCAAACCAATCCAACCAGGCTTTGTTGGTACCATAAACAAAAACCCTTCAGTTGCTTGATTTAAGACTGAATAACAGGAGTGTTATTACAGTAAGCACTGTGTTTGTTATTCTGCTGACAGATTTCTTTCACTCTTTCCCTTAGGAGGTTTGTGATGAACGACACGCTCTTCAGTGAACTGGTAGAGGCTTCGCGAGAGCTGCCAGGAAACAGGTGGTCAATAGGAGGAAATGCACCCGTCATGGCCAGCAGGATGGCGCTGGAAGGATGTGAT